CTCTGTTCAGATCCCTGACACCTTCTCTTCCTGGGAGAAATCTGTCTCATTTGCTTTAAAACATGACCTGCTGGTCAGGTCCCATCTGCACTTCTTCCAGATAGGAAGGGCCTTCTCTATCCTGCAAATGCAGGTGGAACATCCTCCCATCCCAAAGAACCATCTGGGATCTGATCCTGCCCTTCATACAACTGCACACAGATCCCATCTGGTGTCCTCAGTGACATGATCTTTAAACCCTCCAATGCTATCCCTGTGTCCACCACCAGAGTGGACCTGCCCCGGGTACTTGAAGTTTTATGTAGAACTTCTCCCATCCCTGGAGCAGGGGTGATTTTCTGCTGATTTCCTATTCAGAACTGCAGGCAAGCCAGAGGCAGGCTCCGAAAAGCCTATGAAAGGCAACTGAATGAATATACTGTTCCTTCCAATTGTGAGTCCATCATTTCCTCTCATTACTCTAATAGAAACAAATCTTTCTCATCTCAGCCCTATTACCTCACACAAAGGAAAATGGTATGTAATCCCGTTAGAGCTGGGCTGCTGCTGGACACATTTAAGGTCATTGTTCTGGGATGCCAGTCTCCACTGTGTGAGACTGGGAGAAGTGGGAAATGCAATTACTAGGCTATTCAAATCCCTAGAATGAAACCCTGCCGTTAACAGGCAGAAGCCAGCAAGAAAAAGAGCAGTTGCTTTATGAAATTATAGGGTTTGGCTAAATCAGGCTCTAATCAGAACCTCAATAAAGGAGCAGGGCTAGCTCCCACTGCCATCCATGGAGTCTCGTCATTCCCCTCAACCTAATCTTTATCATCCCCGGTGGAAGCCCAACCTGCAAGATGGTTTGTGGTCATGAAGCTAGAAGTGGACAAGTCCAGTGGAGACAACAGTGGTCCATGTCCAGGATTTACACTGTGCTTTGAAATGGGGAAGTCCTAAGAGTCCAGCAACAGGAATATGCCCGCTACTGCCACCACCTCATACTGTACTTTGGCTCTGAGCTTCATGGGGACAGATTCTGAGATCAGATCTGTCTCCTAATATTCATGGCCTACGGCACCAGTCTTGCTGATTGCTGGTGCAACCCAGCTAAGCAGCCAGATGTGAAATTCACATCGCTAAAGTCATGGGGCTGTAACCCCCGCTACAAAGAATTCACATGCTGGAGGACAAAGGGGGCTAGAATTGCTTGTGGCAGTCAGTGAAGCAAAGCAGAACATACAAATGGGAATAATTGCAACTGCCTCATTGAATTGGCTTCTGTTGAGTGGTTAGACACTGACATGTTCCTAACCATTCCCACCCAGGTGAAGCCAAGCCAGTTTTAGCTTGACAGGCAGCAAAGAAAGTGTCTGAAATCTTGCAGGACTAATACTAAGGAAGACCACACAAGAACAACAATGACCATCACAAACTACAAGCAGAGTCAAACTTCTGTCCCAGACTAATCCTGACAGCCAACCCCTTACTGTTATGCCTTGTGCTTCCTTTTCCTTCTTTGTCCCACATTTGAGCTGTATGGTTGCTTTTGCTGGTCTCTCCTGGAGTCAGTCAGTCACTCTTCTTTCTCCTTGATGCCCCTCTTTATCCTTACCTTCCCCACTGTGTTACCCTCCTGATGCCCAAGTTCCCTCAGTCTCCAAAAGGATTTCTGAAAGTAGGAGCATTCTTGCACATCCCAGAAGGAAGTGATGTGGGCTGAGGCAAGGTTTCTGGTAGAGCAGCTGATCACCACTGGAGTCTCCAAGTCCCTTGAAGCGACGAGAGTCACTTCCCTGTTTATGCTCTTTATTAGTCCCTATTCTCTTTAATCGGCTTAGACTGATGAGCCGAGGCAGCGGTAGGGATCAGCCAGGCTGTTTAATTAAAGGATTGCAGCTCAGCCTTGCAGTTTGGGGGTTTGTGTAAATGAGCTGAAAGTGCATTATTTAATCTGCTACGCAGAGAGGAGTTGGGGCATTAATGAAGCAAACTCTAATTAAAACTAGACTGCTGATGGTTATTAGTGGCATCGGTTCTGACAGGATTTATCTCATTTACGGGAACGCCTCATCATGGAAGGAAAAAACAAAGAATAAACCCGAGCTGGTTTATCAAATTCACCACAGCATCACTTGTGACTGACTGTCCATTCAGCGGGACTCAGGAGAGCTGCACAGGGAGCCCCTGTATCCCAGGCTCTCACACTGGGAGCCCTGATGAGCTTATTTAGGCATGTGCCTCACTCACCCAGGAACTGATTGCCTATTCAGGCTGACTGACCCATATATTTCAGTCCTGATTGACTTTTGTTCTGCCTTGGGTCAAAGGGGAGCCTTGTTCATGATTTGAGCAGGGTGACAGGCTCTGTAAATGATCTGATGAGCCTCTTCCAGTAGCGTATTGAGCCATTCCAGAGCAGCATAGCTATCAGCTATGGATGTCAGCTCCACAGTGACCCTGTGTTTTTCCCTCTCTGCCACTTTTTTACCCTCCTCTCTGCATTGTGTATGTAAGTTCAGATATGAAGGAAACCCATAGGTGATGGCAGAACCTGTCACAGGTTTGAATGTATTTTCTGGCCGCCATAATGCTGACCGGTGAGTTTACAAGTCCTGCATGTGCTCTGCCTTTCTTCTGCACAGTGTGGGAAGTAGGGATGCTCTTCTCACCTGAGACAGTCGCATAAGGAGATTGCATACAAAAGCTGCTCTGTTTCAAAAAGCAAAAATCCTGTGTACCTGTTTCTCACCTTCAAACAGCCACAATGGCTTCAAGCACCTCTATCTCTATAGGACGGGGTTCTTTACTATGAGGGTGGCGAGGCACTGGCACAGGTTGCCCAGGGAAGCTGTGGCTGACCCATCCCTGGCAGTGCTCAACGCCAGGTTGAACGGGGCTTAGAGCAACCTGATCTAGTGTGAGGTGTCCCTGCCCACAGCAGGGGGCTGGAACTGGGTGAGCTTTAAGATTCTTTCCAACTCAAACCGTTCTACGACTCTACATAGAATATTGTGCCACACACAGATTCAGGACTGCTGTTGGGGTCTTAGGGCACTAGAAATGTAAAGGACAAGAGAAAGCCTTGGGGGAAAAACTAAATAAAGCAGAGGGCCTGCAGAATGGTACAAGCTACAAAAGACATAAAATGAACAGGCATAGATAGGTATGAGAAATCACTTAACTGGAGCCCCAGATGAAAGGGGTCATGATCATTCATCCCCACTCCTGAGTTTCCTGGCTCAGACTCACCTTTGCATGTGTTGTTGCAGGAGTTGTTAAATTACTGAACAACTAAACAACTTGCCAGAGTTGTTAAATTACTGAAACAATTTGCTTTCTCTTTAATTTACCTGCCAAACCCCAGCTGAGAAATGTAGTGGTTCCCAGCACAAGGCGGGCAGGAAAACTCAGGTTGAAGGGATAGGAAGGGCCTTTGGGAGTCACTGGGAAAAAAGAAAAGCCTGAGAAAAAGAACCCTAGAGCTTAAAACATTGTAGGTGTAACAGCTTAGAACACTGTAGGTGTATCCTTATTGTAGGATAAGAAAATGCTAGAAACTAAGGGAACTGATCAGACATGAGATGGAGGCTGGATAAGAATGGGGCAGGGTCAAGGATCAGGGTATGATGATAGAACACTATGGTAAAATTGAGCCTGGGTTCAGACAGAACAGAGCACATAACCAGCACTCTCCCCAGAAATGCAAGGGAGAGGTAGCTGTCCCTACCACAGCAATCTCTGCTGTCTCCTCCTCTTCCTTGCCAGCATCTCCACACCTGCCACAAAGGTGCAGCTGCAGATGTCCCACAAGGCTGTCATGCAAACTTCAGCAGTGCTTGAAAGCCCTCAGCACAGACATCATAGGGCTTCATACATCTTCATACACAAATGGTCAGGAATGGTCTTGCTTCTTTGCCTTGTCTCCAAGCGTGGCTGAATCCTGTATTTCAGCACACACACATATACAATGCTCTCTTCGCACTTATCCAGCACTCACACTTTCCTTGGAAGGAAACAGAAACCACAGTCTGCTCCAGAGAGCAGAACAAACAAGAGAAATACCATTTCTAAAATGCTGTAGCCTCCCTGCTGCAATTCACTGCCCAATTCCATCCAGAGGCCTCCCTAGTAACAAAGGCTTCTCATAGAGATGCCAAAGGTCAGACGTAAAAGTTTAGCAGTGTAAGGAGGGAAATCTATGAAGTGAAACCTGTTTTCTGTTGACAGAAGGGTGATGAGGCCCGAGAAGAAGGAGTAGGTCTGTGAGATGGAGGTGTAAGAAGTAGTGAGAGGAGAAGGAGATGACAAGAAGAGAGGTGCAAGGCCAAGCATGGAAACTATATACAGTATGTGCGTCTCAAGTACTTTTGGAGCTCCTTGGACCCCTTGGCCTCGGCACTGATGTCATTCACGGATGAGGGAGAGCTACAACAACCACTGGTGGGGCTTCACTGAATACAAGCTGGTGATAGTTAACAGTATCTGTCTGTAACTGTCCTTCATGGGTAAGCTCAGACCATTTCAACACATGTAAAACTGCATGCCCCAGTGTGTGAGACAGAACCCTGAGTTTGTTTGGTGACTTCTGCTGCAGCTTAAAGGTCATGGGTCTATACTGGTGTGTGTCCAGGTACCTTATGTGGGATAACTACTTGGAAGGTGAAGAGTGAAGTATGTATATACTGGTGTTAAAGCGATGCAGAAATGTAAGAGAAGATACAAGCATGAATGTGGGGTGATTGAAGTAGATGTTTGAAGAGAGGCTGAAAGTATGGGTTTGGAGGTGCGTGAGTGGAGGCCAGAAACAGCTTGTGAGCAATTACACAACAGTATGAACAGTAGTCTCTAGGAGGGAAAAGAGAGGGATGGCAGTGCTGGGGACATGGAACATAAGGGAGGGTGGAGGAGGATCGGTGTGGTAATATGTGAGTGTTGTCTGGGGCAGGATGATTGTGATGGATGATAAGGAAGTAGGGGATGGAAAAGAAAAGGTCGTGCTGACAGCAATTTCCCACCTTGGTGAGGAGTCTGAAGACGAAGGCTTCTGCTCTGCATCAGCTGCTGGGCAGCAGAACTGGTGTAAAACAGTTTCATTCCTGTAAGAAACAAACAAACCACAGCAGGTCAGTGTTGGGCTCACTCAGCAGGAAACTCAAGGGGGAATGCCTTTCCCAGGGCTGTTGCAAGGGAACAGAGACTCTGCATGATGCTGAAAGACCTGATTATTACATGAACACTTTGCACTCCGAGGTGGTGGGGAGCAGGAGAGAAGGAGACTGACAATTCTATTCCCCTACCTTACCTGTGCTGCTGCTGCCAAGCTGTAGAGAACAGGGCAAAATGTGCCCAAATAAGAAGTCTTCCTTCTATCAGTATCTGTCTCATGATCTCATACGTCTAATGAAAAACAGTTTTGCCTGTCTCTAACTTCTGTTTCTTTTGGGACAGAAAATCTCTTTAGATATGTTTCCTATACATTGTAATGCAAACAAGTTGAGATTTTTTTGCTGACAGTGGCTAAACTAACTCTGCAGACATTTCTCCTGAAACCCCTCTAGAGCACAGAAATGGCCTCAGCAAATCAGCACCGGGCATTGCCAGAAATAGTAGAAGACAGCTGACAGAACAAGCACAAGTGGGGGGGGGCTGAGACAATGGCAAGTGGAAAAGGAAAGCAAAACCCTAAGAAGTAACAAACCTGAGCAAACTGAAAAACAAAAGGCTAAAATGTGTTTATTACATAAGAAAGGCAGCTGTATTCATCCAAAGGAAAAATCCTAGACCAAACTCCAACAAGGCTCAACGAGGCCAAGTGTAAGGTCCTGCACAGGGGCCAGCGCAATCTCAAGCACAAACACAGGATGGGCAGAGGCTGTAGAGCAGCTCTGAGGAGAAGGACTTGGGGTGTTGGGTGACAAGAAGCTCAACATGACCCAGCAGTGTGTGTTTGCAGCCCACTGTGTGCTGGGTTGCATCAAAGGAGCATGAGCAGCAGGTCAAGGGAGGTGATTCTCCTCCTCTACCCTGCTCTCACAAGACCCCACCTGCAGTACTGTGTTCAGCTCTGGGGCCCCCAACACCAGAGGGATGTGGACTTGTTGGAGTGAGTCTGGAAGAGGCCACAAAGATGATCCAAGGGCTGCAGCACCACTCCTGTGAAAACAGGTTGAGAGTTGGGTTTAATTCAGCCTGGAGAAGGCTTGGGAAGAACTTACTGCATCTTCCAGTGCCTAAAGGAGGCTACAAGAAATCTGGAGAGGGACTTTTTACAAGGGCAGGTAGTGACGGAACATGGTGGAATGACTTTAAACTCACAGAGGGGAGATTTACATCACCTGCTAGGAAAAGATTCCTAACTGTGAGGGTGGTGAGGCACTGGCACAGGTTGCCCAGAGAAGCTGTGGATGCCCCTTCCCTGGCAAGTGTTCAAGTCCAGGCTCGATGGGGCTTGGAGCAACCTGGTTTAGTGGAAGGTGTCTGTGCCTATGGCAGAGGGGTTGGAACAGGATGAGCTTTCAAATCCCTTCCAACCCAAACTGTTCTGTGATCATAAACTTCCAAAACTGCTCACTAATCTGTAGTGACTTGTTCTGGGTCTCTTACCTGGGAACACTTTTAAGGAGCCTGGTTTTCAGGGCTGTTGGGCACTTGGGCACTTATCACAGCATTGGAACCCAGTAAGAGCTGCTCAGCGCCTCTGAAAATGAGATCCAGGGAGGTCCCTGAGGTGTCCTAGGCAGCACAAATCAACAACCGATTCAGAACACACTGACCTTCATCAGTAAAAAGGAGTCACTAGAAAGAGACACAGTGTTGAGGGGGGAAAGTACTAGGAAATGGAAAAGAAAATAAAAGGAGGAGAAAAAAAGCAGGGGAGATAAAGCAGGCTCAGTCCTTGGATGGCATAAAATCACCCTGTCTCCACGTGAGTGAAAGAAGCACTTAGAGCTCTGTTCTCAGTGTTAATGCAGAGACCAAGGGCTCAAATGGGGTCATCTTCTTCTAAAAATATTTTTGCATCTTCTTAGCCCAGACATAAACAGTAAAACCAAGTCTCCTGGCTTGCCATGGGGTCTCAGATCCTTCCAAAGGCCCTGCACACTCCATATCACTCTGAAATGTGAAGCTTACGACCTTTGTCTGTGTCAAAATCTGACAGACATGGCCACAGTTCCTCCCTGACGTGCAAGCTGCTGGAAAAGAGAGGACAAGTCTGTGTGACAATACCAAATCCATCTCCTGCCTTCCATTGTGTAACTACTCAGCTCACATCCCGTCTCTCCTGCCAGCCTGGTTGTTGCTGGTTCTCACCAGGTGGTTTCTAATTTAAACTTCTCAGGTGGCAAGCACTTATCTGACTGGTGTGTCCATAAATCACTTGTGTTGTCTTTTTACTGAAGCAAGTGGTGGGATCACATTTGAGTCTATGTTAAAGCAGGCTCACGCAAATACTCCAGCTCCTACACCATGTCACTCTGCTTCCATCCATCAGGAATTTTCACATAAAATTTTAGTTTTGCATAAACCCACCAACTCATCAAATATAAATTGCCTGGGAAAAACATCTTGGGTTTGACAGAGATTCTTCCAGGTTTTCCTGGCAGGCTGCCTCCGTATTTCACATCTCTAGTGCAGCCATGCCCTCGGAGACGGGCCATCAGATTTTCCACACAGGTTTTTGTTCTGCCCAAGTCCGAAAGCAGCAATGCTGGGAGCTGGCTAGCCCAAGAAGTGTGGAGCACTTGTGCCAAGGCAGTCGGCTCTGCAGTCACAGACATCGCCAGCTGCAGTGTGGAAATGCACAAGGCTCTCAGCTGATTCAGCTACAGCTGGCATACACCCTGAGCAGCATGCTTGGTTTCAGGAGTATTCTGGATTGGCATTTCCGACTGAATTTCATCTCTACAGAAACCACTGCGGATAAAGAGGCTACTTCCAGATAAAGCAACAATGTATTTTTAAATCACAGAGTCATAGCATCATTAAGGTTGGAAAGACCTTTAAGATCATTGAGTCCAACCATTAACCCAGCACTGCCATGTCCACCACTAAACCATGTCCCTAAGCATCACATCTACATGTCTTTTAAATGCTTCAGGGATGGTGATCCCACCACTTCCCTGCAGAGTCTGTGCCGATGCTTGACAACCTTTTCAGGGAAGAACTATTTCCTTATATCCAATCTAAACCTCCCCTAGCACAACTTCAAGCTGCTCCCTCTCATCCTGTCACTTGCTACCTGGGAAAAGAGACCAACACCCACCTTGCTACAATCTCCTTTCAGGCAGTTCTAGAGAGCAATAAGGTCTCCCCTCACCTAAACCACCCCAGTTCCCTCAGCCACCCCTCATAAAACTTGTTCTCCAACCCCTTCACCAACTTCCAAATGGGAACTTCTAATGGACATCCCAGATTTCAGCCATTTCTAATCTCAACTGTAATTCCCTAAATGAACAGTTCTCTGCTTTTACTCGAACAGCAGATGCACCACTCCAATTCCTAGTTACACATGAAGAAAGTGAACAAGGAGGGAAAACATAGAGAAAAAGAGGAAGGAACAAGGACAGAAAAAAAACCCTGAGAAATAGAAGCCTCTATGTAGATAAAATGCCTTCCCAGTTGATTATCACAATAGAAACAGAAAAAAACCTGAAAGGGGCACAGGGAGAGTGGTGTGAAGTTGCAGAACTCTAGGCTCACTCTCCTGTGGGTGTTTCGAGATGAAACATCTCACAGATACTCTTCAGAGAACCAGCGTGGTCTGAGTGCTGCAGCTGCACAGCCAGTTCTTGACTCTGGTTCTCATCATTTCTCATGTGCATTTAACACTAAACTTGGGCACTGCTGCACAAGCCAGAGTCCTATTGAACCTCTGAGATCCCAAGATCTGGAGTAGTTGTTACGTACCACTACCAGATGTTGCTCAGGCTCACAGCAGAGATCTACCTCCAGGCCATTTGGGATCCTTGAGTCTCCATCCATGGGCTGTGACTCCCATGGAGAAACCACCAGGGAGGTAGTGAGGAGCAGACACTGCCTGATAGAGGTAAGTACATGAGGTATAAATGAGCATTCCAAGACTGTGCAGAGCTCTTCCCCTGACTGGTGGCAGGGAAGGGTATCTTATTACTCCTATTAAATCTGAATTCCCGAAAAGCCAAGAGCAGTTGGAGCTCTGGGTCTATTTACATTCTTCTTTTACAGCTTGCTTCTCTTTCTCTTTTATGCTGTCCAAGCATACAAAAACAAGGACTGGGTTCCACCTTGGAGACTATGCTTATTAATTTTCCTCTTTCTTTCCATCTCTTGATCTTGCACATATCTGATCTCTAGCAAATCCATGCCCTTTGTTTTGCAGCATGGGATGCATAGCCCAGACAGGGGCTGGGAAAGGTTTAACTTGCTATGGAAGAGATGGTCCTGGTCCCATCCGGAAGAGGCTGTAATTATACCTGGACAAAGGACCTCCCATCTGGGTGCAAAAGGCAAGTGTCCTAGGGGCTTACTATCACTTGTAAGCCTAAAGTAAGTGCCCTAGGAAAGCAGGTGTCTTACTAACTCTGTGAAGTCTTCAGGTAAGATGTTATTTTTGTTGCTGTGATTCAAAAGGGCCTGGCGGGATTTTGATGACTACCTCGATTTCGTTCCCCTGTGGTGCTGTCAACCTTTGCAGCTTTAGAGTCTTGAGATATTTATTATCTGTCTGAAGTCAGCGTAAGACTTTTGATGGTGGGTTTATTTTTTGCCTTTCTTCGCTTTCTTTTTATTCTGTTTTTACACAAATCTTACTTTGTAAGTCAGAAAGGCTACATAAAGCTTGAATGTGCAGCCTCTGAGGAGTTAGACACCAGAAAGCATAGGGCTTGTTTTGCCTTTGAAAAACAGGGAGGAAGGCGACATGTCTTGAATCCAGTGACAGTTGATTCAGACTCATTACTCAGGGGTGCTTATCTGTAATTATTTTCTCTTTTTCAATACTTCAGGTAGGTGGCAATGGTCTGCCAACAAAAATGGTAGGTTCGGGGCTTTCTCTTTTGCCTTTCTGTCTCTTCCTTTATGTCCTCTGCTTTGCCTTCCTAAGACTTGCAAGCCATTA